ACATAATGTTCCAAAACCGTTTGACTTAACCTCATTCATTTAATATTTTAAAAATAATAAAAACAATGATATATTAAGTTAAACAATTAATACTGTACTTGCATTTAACAATAACACAATTTATTTCACCAACATTCAATATAACCGAAACAGTTATGATGAGAGCAAGACTAATTTTAAATAACAAAAAAGAATGGGTTTAGTTATTTTATTATATTAGTAGTGTACAGCTTTTTCCCCCCCACACACAATCATTCACAAAAAGACAGGTTTTAAATTGTCCGAATTGTCCAATGAACCTGACCAACAAGTCAATGAAATAGCCGTACGCTTCAATAGCAAGCTGAGTCCCAATCATCGGGCGATAGGAGGCAACTTAAAAAACAGCCATGGGAGGCCACGCTCAGTTGCGATTTGCATTCTAAACACCGCACACTTTTGTCAGTGACAAGTTCTTCATACAAATTGCAGCAAAAATAAAAAGAGTGATATCACAAGCGGTTTATTTGAGCATTGATTTTGCGGTAACTTTGCATTAAACCGCATCAGTGGTTGATTATAGAGTAGCCTGGAGCCTCAACAAATTGAAAATGGACAAACTTACGATTCTTAATGCAATCAGGACGATTATTTGAGCAGCGATGGTTTTACGTTTAGGAAGTGTCCCCAACACAGACCTTAAACAGAATGCAGCAGCACCTAACGTATTTATGATCTGGCTCCCAAAAGTATTGGTGTTTTCACATGTCAGAGAGCACACTGACTGCATTGCTGTAGCGTGGTGAATCAGGAGGCTTTGTTAGATTTGAAGGGGTGGGGGAGCACAGAAACCAGAGCACAGGCCCTGAAACCAATAGCAGGCCGTGCGCACGCAATCACAAAGCCGCGTAAAAAAATCCAGCGGGCACTCGCCCCACCGATTTCCCAGGAGACCGGCCAGCATATGTCAGAAGGGAAGAAGGATATTACGCGTACACACACACATACACGCAAACATGAGCACACGAGCGGACACAGGCGCGTGCACACGGACGACAAATTGTGCGCGCGTGCGCACGCACTCGTGCGTACGCACACCTCGAAGACACACGTGTGCATGCACGCGCCGTAACAGCACACGCAGACACACGTGTACGCACAGAAATAGAACGAGGCATGTGCACACGAGCACAGACACATACCCAATGCAAGCACACATCACGACCGACCATACAATGTTATTTAATGGACCGAATATATATACACACACACAAAATACGACCCAAATACAAATGTGTACAAGCGCGCATGCACACTAGGGGTACTCACACGTGCCAACTAAGAATGCGAGGAGCATGCGTGCATCGGTGCACATTTAAAGAAAAGACAAAGATCCCCCTTATAGCCTTAAAACACTGTAGGGGCAAGTGCTGTTAGCGAGCACCTATGAAGGCCGGAGCAGTACACGAGGGGGTGGGTGGCCAGCACCATGCCCGACCGCCTTTGTCTCCCTAGTGGAGATATTTACACACTGCACTAGGTACTCATTTTAGGCTGAGTCGACCTAGGGGAGGCCAAGGACCGGTTCAGATAATCGTCACTGGTGTTGACCGTGAGCGGGAATCGAACCTGGGTCGCCAGGGTCATAGCGCAGCGCGCTAACCGCTACACTACCGCTCCCCACACATTTAAAACACACACGCGTGTATATACTGCGTTAATCTTTGAGCTGTGTGACCAGCACACACAGGCAAATGCATAAAAATGTGCAAAAGGTGTACCACAAGGCATGGCCTCGTGAACACACTTTTCATGCACTGTGGATACACCTTAAACAAACATCACCAACCTCCATATGAACCTCAAAAACACACAATAACCCAGCCACCTTCCCATGAAGCGCAATATAAAACACAGGTCACATTTGGCCTTGCACGCTGAACATGCATCTCGGCTGAGCAGGCAATGTATGTTCAGCAATTTCGGTTACATTATAAGTTCTTAGCACTTCCTCCACGCTGACGTAATGTGATTAAATAAACGGTCGGCACGCATGTCCTTAAATATGCATTTGCTCCTTCGCCAAATTGCATCACAGTTTAACATCAGTGGTTATTAAATACTGTAATGCACATGAATCAAACGAAAAAGAGAACCCTTCACTTGACAATTTCTGCAATGTTTCGTCTAGAAATGTTCCTATTGGCTGTATAAAAAAAGACAAAAATCCCCCGTATAGCCTTAGGAGACTGTTGGGGCAAGTGCTGTTAGCGAGCACCTCTGAAGGCCGGCACAGCGCACGAGAGGGTTGGTGGTCAGTACCACGTTCGGCCGCCTTTGTTTCCCCAGTGGCGATGTTTACACATCGCACCAGGTACTCATTTGAGACTGAGTCGACCTAAGGGAGGCCCAGGACCGATTCAGATAATCGTTACTGGTGTTGGCCATGAACGGGAATCAAACTCAAATCGCCGGGTACGTAGCGCAGCACTACAGCTCCCCACATTGCACACCCGCATTGCCATATACAATGCACACCCAACAAACGTATGCTATAAAACCTGACACGGTTTTTTTAATTCACCAATGTCATAACAGAAATTTTTGCAATAATACCACCTAAATGCACAAATGTGGACTTAGTTGCCCGATGTGAAGGCAACATTTTAGAAACATTTTCTGTTCGATCGTGAACATTCGCTTCCACCGTCCTCTATTTCAAATGCGCCAGTTATTGAAAAGGCCAGCTTGCAGCAGCGACACAGATTCAATGACTCATAGACGTTCTTCAGGAACCTTCACGGACAGTGCGGGAATGCTGATGCATCCGACCGGCCAAGGTTTGTGCACCTATAAATCGCTGGCCCACGCGTACACCGCTGCATTCGCAATCCCGAGTTAGCGTGCACGCTGCGCCATTAGAATCGCTTACAGCATTAGTGCAGGCACAACTCCTTGCATCAAATCAGCGAATTATGTAAATTCTCATTTGATTTTTTTTTCTTCCATCACCCCCGCAACGACCACTGCCACACGGAAGTCGGGAAATAATAACAAAAAAGGTTGAATTATAAGGAGGGGGGGGGGGGGTGAATAACCTCATGCGTGCTCGTGCGTAATTATTCAGCTGCCATGGTCTGTCATGCCGATCGGAACCCAACCCCATGGCAGCTTTAAACTCGGAGTGGTTGGGAGAAAAGGAATTTCTGCCACGAGCGCGCTCTCCAAAATTCCAGGCGCGAACACATCTCTCAGCGGCGGCCCGGGGCGCACAAGCGGCACAACAGCACGAGGAATTGATCATCAAGTTAGGCCTAGATTGACATTCCTTCTTTGTTGTTTAACCTTATGATTCACTTATAGTTGAAAACTGAAAAGTGCCATCCCAAGCGCTGTATGTACTTAGCTGCCCAGTGGCTGCTGCACCTGGTGGGATTGCACGCACGCCACGCCAGTGAATGCAACGCAGGGCATACGTGCGTCTCGTGTGGCAGAGCCATGCGGCGGTTTTATTTTACCAAAAAGGTCACCCAAAGCTCCGGACAGAAATATTTATGAACAGATTTTGAATGTCATTATGAGCGCTTTAGTTTGGGCTCATCTAAAGATAGTCGGGTTGTATCTTTTTTTTATTAATCTGTGGCACTTTTCAAGCATACATCTGCCATTAGTACATGGAACAACAAAGGAATACAACAAAATAATTTTAGAAAGTAGAAAATCCGTTGAAGAAATTAAAGATGCATATTTACCAGGCGAAATACAACACGATCTTGGAATTCTCTTTTCTAAGTTATGCTCGGCGTGTTGACTCCACTGTAGCTGCATATGGCTCCCATCACGTGGAAGGAATTTGAGCACACTCGGTACGACACGCGTCCTATAAATAGGGGAATGCTGTTTTAACAACATTCAGTTCAACGCAGGCAGAGAGGTCAATACCAACACAGCTACTACCCCCAAAAAAACTGACGGGTTACATTACATTTTCATTTGCACTCAAAGAATGAGCCGTTTCTCAGCATCCGTCATACACACGACGTCCTCACTCAAAGCGGGGCAAACTCGCCGTGACTCACTGCAGCTTAACGACATCTTATAAGCAATAAAAAAAAATCAATAGCGCACTTACAAAATAAATATAGTGGGAATAACCGTGCTGAATATTGCCAACTTACATTTTAGTTCAATAATAGAGCCAGTGGGAAACAACTAAAGTAAGGCAGAGTCTGTGACAAACATCAACGAACGGAGGGATACTTGCCAATGAAATTTGTAAGTATTTCAATGCAAAAAGTGCAATAACACAAACAAAATTGATATCAAGTAAAATGTAAACTGACCCAACAACAATCGTGACCGATGTACTTCAGTGATCAGAATTATCAGCCGTAACTGCAATTGACAGTAAAGTAGGCAGCGGTTAAAATGCATTGTTTTTTTAAAACTGAAGCCAGTCTGTTATTAAAGATCCATCAGTCTCTGGGAAACCGAGTAAGGGGCCCCTGACGGCAGGGCCAACAATCGCTCATATTTATCGCATTCCGCGTGTGTGTGGTCCCTACAGACTTCTCAAAGCACCGTCAAGCAAAGTGAAATATTAATCAGCAAAAAAAACTGTGAATGATCTGTTGGCAAAATACGGTCAAGTTAATTTTGTGAAAGGCAAATCAAGGAATCCACTTTCTAAAATGCATAGTTTGCAAGTGCCGCACATGTGATGAAGAGCTCATGATTAAGATACGCACGCATTCATCGTATTTCAAAGGCTTTGAAAGCAGTTTTTGCACTGGGTCATAAAATGCTTCAATGCAATAAGGGTGGATGAGATTGCAAATCAAGCACGTATCTTATATATCGTGAAAAACTCTGTCTCACGAAAGAGAATAGTCACAGAACATGAAAGCATTTCAACTTAGTCATTGACAATGTAACTTCGGCGCGATAACAAAGGCACATATAGAGCGCGCGTTCCACATAAACATACCATCACAGCCGCACACGCGCACATATTACCTGACCTAAAGGACAAGGTTTTCCCAGAACGGAGTGTTGGAGCCAACGCTGCAGATTTTTAAAATCAGAAACTGTCATCAACCCGTCCGTCCACACCTGCACAGACAGGACAGCGGGAAGCCTTCCTCCACCCCTCTCCTTGGCAGGCGGTGGCTAATGCTTCGCCGCCTCATGCGAGCTAATATCGCCGTGGGGTTGAAACTACTGAAGAAGAGACGTGTGTGTGTGTAGATTTTTTTTTTTAAACGAAGAAGAAACGGCCGGGAAGCTCTCAAACGCTGCCAACCGCTGCGGAGGAGTGGAGCGGCGTGCCAGCGTGCGGCGGCGGCGGCATCGCGATCAATTCGACAATTAACGCACACGTGCACGATTCATTAAAGCGCCCCCCCACCGCGGGCTGAATAGGGATGTCGATTTTACACGTGTCTGTTCCATCGATTGGCTCGACTGAGACCCCCCCCCACCAGCACACCACCACCAGCACACCACCCCCCACCACATCGCGCACCCATCCCAGGCACTTACAGTGGTGGCCTTCTCCCTCCTCTCAAGGAGTGTATTCTATCCCACCCTTTTAATTGACGCGTATAAGTGCTGCCAGAGCAAACGGTTAAGCATCATTCTGCGAGTGAAGGTATGCGTGTGCTCTTCCGTGTACTATATATATCAGTAACAATTATTAGGGGAGGAGAAAAAACACCCTGATCTTTTACACAAGAATATCTCTCTCAATTATTGGTAGCGTTTTTGGTAAAAAAAAAATACCATTTAACGGCGCTACATGTGATTCGATTTATAAAGTGCGAACAAAAATCCCACGCGTTTTTAAAGGTGACGGCTGCTCACCTATGATTTAGCCTTCTGAAGACAGGTTCCTTTCAGCGGGTGTTGAGGCAGCCTAACGTTACTGTATAAGAAGTTATTAACAGCAGCAAGCGCAGAGCCATACATTGATGCAAAATTAAAACAGAAAAAAATCACGGGCAGCATTGGCAGACCTGGTGCGCAGGCATAACTCAAAAAACGACATTCATCACGACTACTGCCCGATAACGGAACTATATATAGAGGGTTGATGTTTCAAGTCAATAGCTCTGGGGCTCGTCTGAATTAGGGTCATTGGCCGAAACGTCAACCAACTACATTATATGTTTCCTTCACAAGGCAGTGTTAATGACAAATAGTGTGAGTGAGTCATGTGTGTGCAAGGGCAAACACAGTTATTTATTTAGCGCATATATTTCTTATTGCTATTAAACATTCATTTGAAACACTGCAGTGCCTTAAAATATTAGATTGTCTTTTGAAGTGTACAGATAAGGTAAGCGCAATAAGAAAAAATACAGATGTGTATGTGCCCTGTGCCAGTAATTTAAACAAACTTATAAACTCGAAATATTTATGTCACACTATAAGTAGTGACATTACAAATTAGTCTCATGGCGAAAATAACAGTTTATCTTCAAGTCCAAATATAAGGCATCAAAATGCTTCCAACTATGCACACAGCAAAAAAATGCACACGGTGATACAATTCGAAAATAAATATGTAAACCAAAATACAACAAAACAGATACGTTGTATTATTATTCTGGAAGCGTAAAATTTTGTACAAAACACATTTACGTGAATGTCATCACCATTATAAAATAGCGCCATCAACAGCGATATGAATCGCCATCAATCACCATTAACATATTGTCATTATCTCAAACATAATGCAAAAGTGTAGTGCAATGAGCAGTGAATTAACACTGGCCTCATATATCCTAGTCCTGGTTTAGTAGGTTTAGCATAGCATTACAAGTGATTAAGTGAAGTATGTGAAAACACACTGACAACATCTTTAGCAGAGGGATTTATGCAACTTTAAAAACACAAATAAATAAAATAGCTTCGGCAGTAGTACACACATACAATAATTGAAACTTCGTTATAAGGAAAAAATATTTAAAAGGCTGATGTTTTGGGCAACGGCCCTTATTTAGAGCAGAGATCAGATATTCACCGACTGCACGTGAAAGTACTGATCATAGTACGCAATTATTATTTCAGTGTCTTCTATCATATACACAGAAAAATCGCACGCATCGCAGTCCACGAAATCAACATTGATGGCATCAATGCTGCATTTAATTTTACATGGGGAATTATAATTTCTCTCACATCCTTAAGTACTTAAACATTTGATACTTTAACAGATATAATTACATAAAGCACTTTTGACTAAGATCTAAAATAATTTTAAATATTGTAATGTAAACATTTAGACAAACCACATAACCAATTCTATTGACGAGTGTATACACACTGTCCAACGCCAAGACTTTCCATCATACACAGTATTATATACCGCATTACACGTGTGCAGGTGTGTACTACTTAACATATATTATCTGCTGGTATATCAATTATTGTACAATGTGTGTTGCAGATGATGGAAGTCAGCATATATATTTATGGTCAATTTCTTAGGCATTAATTGTCTTTAATGTAATATCATTGTTTCATGTGTATTCTGACTTTTAATTTCACGTGTGTAATATTTAATAAGCGTTTTAGCATTACCTTGTTTTACAATATTTACTTTCATGGGTTTAATATGCAATGCATGTTTTCCTTTGTAAATGCATATCATTGAATCGTGCTTGTGATGATTGCCTATTGAGATCTGTTCTGAATTGCTCATTATGAAGGTGATTATGATGATGACATACAGTGTGCATACAAATACTGCAGATAGTATACATTATTATTTCATTGGACATTTAATACAGTATCACGCAAAAATGTTGCAGCAACTTAAATGGAAAATGCCCCTAGTGCAAACGTTCACAAAACTGTGGAAACATTAAGTTTGCTTAAGATAGCAGTACATCTACATTAATAAAGGCAGAAAATATTTGTGTATGGCCAAATCGCAAAACAAGTAGATCTTAAATACAATGAAAATACTCAGTTTTACACAAAACATCCAACACGTAAAAACGATCAAGACAGATGTAAATTCTGACCATGTTCGTTAACGGCTAAAACGCTTAAAATGTTCACTAATGTAGTTGGAGTCCATGCTTACAAATAGAAACATAAAAAAAATTCAAATTTCCATATTTCCCATCTCTCAAAATTACATAGATTGGTTTCACTCATATTGCAATGGTCAATCTTAACTTTGATATTATTACAAGTTTCCTGCAAAAACACAAAATACCATCTCCATCATCTGAGAAAGTGGGCAAATTATGCGAATGGTTGACTGGTTTAAGCTTTATCATTATCGCCATCACAGAGTTAACCGTCTTATGATTGATAACACTAAATAGAAAACGCGCGCTGCACTGCACCATCCCAATGTACTCAGATCTCCCTTGCACGGGAGATTGAGCTGTCTCAACGTGCTCTCACCTGGTTTAAATAAAGGAACTCTCGCTCTCTACCTATCCATCCATCATCGTTATTATTATTGTATACCAATAGCGGCCACGCATTGCTTCGCCCCCACGCCGGGGGGGAAAGGTTCGGCGTTATGAGGTATTGAATATACCATGTGCCCACAAAGGTTGTTCTGGGCCGGGTTCACGTGAAGGACTTGGGTTTATCCTTCGTTGTTTGGCCCCATTGATTGCACGCAGGGACGGCTCACCGTCAATAAAAACCATCTGCTTTCCTTCAGATGAATAACATTCCACTCCTTTACTCCCCCCTTAATCACCTTTTCACTTTGCAAACTTTTTTTTAACAGGCATTACTCGAAGCGCCTTTTGCTTTTAAGGGTATACTTACACTTCTTACCATCGCATTTCCCAATATTTTATACGCACAGTGATATATCAATGTGCTGCTGTTGATGTTGTTGTGTCCAGAAACCTCAACCACGTGTTATGTTGGGAACGCGTGTTTCCGATTTGTATCGCAATGTACACAATGTACAAGTGCCACGGCTTTGTGTGTCGTGAGAGAAACGAATATCTGAAGAGTAGTCTGTGGTTATTATACCACCAACAACTTGTTTCTGTTTAGTCTCGAGTCCACGGCAGCTTTGTGAAATGGAACTTGTCAAAAATAGCAACAGCTTCAAAATACGAGTCGAATGGTTATCCTATCTACGCCGAATCGCACAATGTTAAACAGCTTAATAGGTTTAAATATTACACTGCGCTTACATTAGGAAAATACTGAAATTACGTATACACATCTAATAATTATAAACGAATTCACAAGGCTGTACTGACAGCGCTTAATATAGGAAATATTCCCCTGTGATTGTCACAATGCCAAGATACGGTATTTATATTCATTTTAAACAAACTGTTGACGATATTTTGAAGATGGTAAATTGCTACTGTGTATAAAAACAACATTGACAATGTTAGGCGAAGGCTAATATGAAAATTAGATTAAAGTACAATACATTTACAATAATTTAAACACCACAACAAAAATTACAACATTGTATTAATACACACCACAGACAACGCGAACACTGTACAACAACAACAACAACCAGCACACGTAGATAACATTTCACGAAACAAAAGCAATGTTTCACACAATGGTTTTTGACATTTGCAGAATTTATAAAAAATGTTTTCATCTGCCAGGCGGGTGCCCAAAGCATTGAGAACCGCGGCCTACTCAAAACTAAAAGCCTACGGACTTTCCTTTCTAACATTGGCCGACGCCGCCCGTGTACAGCACCCTGGCCGGGACCCCCCCCCCCCGTCACCGAGGAGGCAGGCTGCAGGCTGAAGCCCCCTCCTCCGTTCGCTCTCCGTGGACGGTTTAGCTCCACAAAACACCGCAAAAAGAACCGCGAACGAGGCACACAAACCTCCTCAACAGTTTTGTGTATTTAGTTTTAAATGGTCACGATTTAAATAACTTCTCGTTGGGACGAGATGCGAAACGAGTGAAGGCGACAGATGATGAAAAGAACGTTTGAAGAGGCTTTAAATGACGGCGATGTTGATACCCACAGATGATGATGATGCTGATAAAGGTGAGATCTGACGCTGCTGTTGATGACTTGATGCATTGTGACGATACAGGTGACACCGGTGATGACGGTCACGACGCTCGCGATGATGTTGAGGGATTATTGATGATTTCGAGGGGTTATTGATGATTTCGAGAATGGAGATAATCGAATTGTCACTCATGGATCGTCCCCTGGCGCTAGAGATGTCGTGCTGGATGAGGGAGATCGTGCAAGTTGTGCTTTGTGAGGAGTGTTGAAGCGCGTCGTCGTCCAAATCGAGTCGAAGACTACGTAGCGTATGGCACCAGAGTTGATGGTGATGATTGAGAATGTTTGAATAACGGAGTGTCAAAGTTGTCTCTCGTTCCATGGTGGAACTCGCGTCTCTTGCCAAGCTCCTAACCCCCCCTCCGATCCGGGATGATGCGGGTGATGGTAATGATGTTGACGAGGACGATGAGAGGAGTTCACGAGTTCAAACTCGCGTGCTTTAGTTAGTGTCAGCATCCGTCTCCATTGCCTCCCCCCCCCCCCCGGGTGACGACGGTGATGGTGATGGTGACGGTGATGATGGCGGTGAAGACGATGAGGATGGCGGATGGAGATGGAGGTCTCACTCGGGGTGGTGGTGATGCCACGAACGTCGCCTGCAGCCTTCAACTCATGACGCGCAGGAGGGCGACGACTGTGGGTGGTGGTGGTGATGGTGGTGGGTAGTTGATGGTGGTGGTGGGTGGTGGTGGTGGTGGGTGGTGGGTGATGGTGGTGGGTGATGGTGGTGGGTGATGGTGATGGGTGATGGTGGTGGTTAGTGGTGGTGGTGGTTAGTGGTGGTGGTGGTTAGTGGTGGGTGATTGTGGTGGTTAGTGGTGGTGGTGGTTAGTGGTGGTGATGGGTGATGGTGATGGGTGATGGTGATGGGTGATGGTGATGGGTGATGGTGATGGGTGATGGTGATGGGTGATGGTGGTGGTGGTTAGTGGTGGTGGTTGGTGGTGGTTAGTGGTGGTGGTGGGTGATGGTGGTGTTTGATGGTGGTGGGTGATGGTTAGTGGTGGTGGTGGGTGATGGTGGGTGGTGATGGTGGTGGGGGTGGTTACTGGTGATGGTGGTGGGTGATGGTGGTGGTGGTGGGTGATGGTGATGGTGGTGGGTGATGGTGGTGGTTAGTGGTGGTGGTGGTGGGTGATGATGGGTGGTGGTGGGTGGTGGTGGGTGGTTACTGGTGATGGTGGTGGGTGATGGTGGTGGGTGATGGTGGTGGTGGTGGGTGATGGTGGTGGTTACTGGTGATGGTGATGGTTACTGGTGATGGTGGTGGTGGGTGATGGTAGGGGCAAGGTTGTGGTTGTGGTTGCTAGCTTGGAGGTGATACTCAACAACATCTCCAAGACGCAGCATCTCCACCTGGACTCAGATGGCGGTGGAGGCGGCTCGTGACGATAATGATCGAGTCTCGAGGTGGCTGAACCCGCGTCCACAGAATCGCCCAGGTACCTCCTCGCCACAGATCGTGATAGCGATGGAGAAGGTGGACACGACGAAGTCTAACTCAAGACAGTGGAACTCGCGTCGTTACCGAGCCTCCTCTAACCCTGCACCCAAGCGATGCTCGTGGTCCCAGTCTCCTCTCCTGGTGATGGTAACGATGGCGGAAGAAGGCGGTGATGGTTAAGAGTGTACCGCTCGTGGTGACGGCAACGCGTGATGGTTGAGTGAGTGGTGAACTCAGGTCGACCTCCTGGGCCCACATAATGATAATGGAGCAGGAGGAGAGAGGTGATCATCACGAATGGAGCGGTGATGATGATGATGGTGGTAGCAGCAGCAGCAGCAGTGGTGGTGGTGGTACAGTGGTTGAACTCACGTCGCCTCCCGAGTCCCAGCCTCCGTCTTCCCCTTGCCCCGGAGCGGGCGGCTCCACGTGAGGAGGACGACGACGACGGCGGCTCTCGGCTCCTCGTGGTGCACGAGAGGGGACGCGACCACGAACACGCACGAACACACACAGAGAGAGAGAGAGTCTTGAACGCGGGCCAAGTTTTTCAAAGCTGTCCGCCCGCTCGGCCTGCCATGTCCGCGGAGCGAACGAGCGAGCGAGGAGGAGGAGGAGGGAGCGAGGAGCGGCGAGAGGAGGGAGCGAGGTGGTGGTGGGGGGGGGGTAGAGAGCGCCTCCCCGCACGCTCACCCACCCACCCACACCACCCCCACTCGGCGCCGCGCCGAGCCGCCTCCTCCTCCTCCTCCACCGGCACCCCCCCCCTCCTCCTCCTCATCATCACGCCCCGGGCGCATGCGCGGGGTCCGTGGTGGGCGGGTGTGCGACGGGTGTGCAGAGTGTAGTGTGTAGTGTGTGTGCAGTGTGTAGTGTGTGGGGGGGGGGGTGCAGGGGTTGTAGTGTGCGTGAGTGTGTGTGCAGGGGGTGTAGTGTGCATGTGTGTGAGTGTGTGTGCGGTGTGTAGTGTGTGTGAGTGTGTGTGCAGGGGGTGTAGTGTGCATGTGTGTGAGTGTGTGTGCGGTGTGTAGTGTGTGTGCGTGCAGGGGGTGTAGTGTGTGTGAGTGTGTGTGCAGGGGGTGTAGTGTGCATGTGTGTGAGTGTGTGTGCGGTGTGTAGTGTGTGTGCGTGCAGGGGGTGTAGTGTGTGTGAGTGTGTGTGCAGGGGGTGTAGTGTGCATGTGTGTGAGTGTGTGTGCGGTGTGTAGTGTGTGTGTGTGCAGGGAGTGTAGTGTGTGTGTGCGGGGTGTAGTGTGTGTGTGTGCGGGGTGTAGTGTGTGTGTGTGTGCGACGGGTGTGCGTGAGTGTGTGTGCAGAATGTAGTGTGTGTGTGTGCAGGGTGTAGTGTGTGTGTGCAGGGTGTAGTGTGTGTGTGCAGGGTGTAGTGTGTGTGTGCAGGGGGTGTAGTGTGTGTGTGTGTGCAGGGTGTAGTGTGTGTGTGCAGGGTGTAGTGTGTGTGCAGGGTGTAGTGTGTGTGTGTGCAGGGTGTAGTGTGTGTGCAGTGTGTGGGGGGGGGGGTGTGTGTGCAGGGGTTGTAGTGTGCGTGAGTGTGTGTGCAGGGGGTGTAGTGTGCATGTGTGTGAGTGTGTGTGCGGTGTGTAGTGTGTGCGTGCAGGGGGTGTAGTGTGTGTGTGTGTGCGGGGTGTAGTATGTGTGTGTGTGCGGGGTGTAGTGTGAGTGTGTGTGCAGGGTGTAGTGTGTGTGTGTGCAGGGTGTGTAATGTGCGTGAGTGTGTGTGCAGGGTGTAGTGTGTGTGTGTGCAGGCTGTGTGTGTGCAGGGGGCGTAGTGTGCGTGAGTGTGTGTGGGGGGTGTGTGTGCGTGAGTGTGTGTGCAGGGGGTGTAGTGTGTGTGTGCAGGGTGTAGTGTGTGTGTGTGCGGGGTGTAGTGTGTGTGTGTGTGCAGGGTGTAGTGTGTGTGTGTGTGCAGGGTGTAGTGTGTGTGTGCAGAGGGTGTGGTGTGTGTGTGTGCAGAGTGTAGTGTGTGTGTGCAGGGTGTGTAGTGTGCGTGAGTGTGTGGGGGGGGGGGTGTGCGTGAGTGTGTGTGCAGGGGGTGTAGTGTGCGTGTGTGTGTGAGTGCGGGGTGTAGTGTGTGTGCAGAGGGTGTAGTGTGCGCGAGTGTGTGTGCAGTGTGTGTGCAGGGTGTAGTGAGTGTGTGTGCAGGGTGTGTAGTGTGTGTGTGTGTGCAGGGGGTGTAGTGTGCGTGTGTGCAGAGGGTGTAGTGTGTGGGGGGTGTGTGTGCGTGAGTGTGTGTACAGTGGGTGTAGTGAGTGTGTGTGTGTGCAGG